AAAGACAGGTTTAAATTAAGGTAGCCTCTAAAATAAGCAGGTTAAAATGCTTCTTTTCCGTTTCACAATTTTGCTTCTTTGTCAAAAGTCTGCTGTTTGTAGGCAGGTGAATTCGTATCCAAGGTGGATTGATTTCAGTACTATGACTCTGTAGTGAAGTTTAAAGTCAGAGACTGTGATACATTCCAAAGTTCCTTGATTGTACAGGATTTTAAGATTGTTCAGGCTATCCTGAGTTTTTGTCTTTTCTCATAAGGTGGAGGATTGTTTTATCAAAGTCTGAAAATTTTTGTTATAAGTTTAATGGGCATTTACACTAAATCTGTAGGTTGCTTTCAGTAAGATTGTCAATTTTGCTATGTTGGCACTGTCTTTACAAGAGAATAGGAGTTCTTTACATTTTCTGATGGCTTAAATTTCTTTCTTCAAAGATTTAAAGTTCTTGTTATAAAGGTTTTTCAATTGTGGGATTAGAGTTACTCAAAGATATTTATGGTATTTGTGGCTGTCTCATTTATGATATGTGTAGAAGAGATACATTGGGGTTGTTTTCAGTTTCTGTGTATGATAAAGTAATTCTGCTGTAAACATGGTTGAGCACGTGTCCTTATAGCATGGTTGAGCATCTTTTGTTTATAGGCCCATGATGGAGGAAGGTCATTGGTTAATTATAATAAACCAACTGCTTGGCCTCATAGCTTAGAATATAGGTGGGTGGAATAAACAGAATAGGATGCTGGGCGGAAGAGGAAGTGAGGTCAGACTCTGCTCTGCTCCCGGAGAGACTCGACAGCTCTGCTCTCTGGAGCAGAGACGCCATGCTCAGCTCTCCCAGGCAACTCCAACCCAGAATGGACATAGGCTAGAATCTTCCCGGTAAGCGCACCTCGGGGTGCTTACACACATCATTAGAAATGGGCTAGTCCAGGTGCGAGAATTAGCCTGTAAGGGCTAGAGTTCATGGGCCAAGAAGTTCTTAAATGAATACAGTTTGTGTGTTGTTATTTCGGGCATGAGCTAGCCAAGCGGCCAGGGTGTTGGGGACACAGCCCCGCTGCTCCATATTTCAACAGGCCCAAAAGAGGTATAGCTCAGTTTTAAAATAGTTTGTTGCCTAATTTTCTGAGAATTCGACAGCAGTGGAGGAGTTTCTCTTAAGCATAAGCTGTGAGCACTGTTTTTGATCTTGGTTGTTTTTACAGGGATAAGATGGAGTCTCAAAGTTGTTTTAACTTACATTTCTCCAATGGTTAAGGATGTTATGTTTAAATATTTTTTGAATGTCTTTCAGTCATTTTAAGTTCATCTATTGAGAGTTTTCAGTTCGGTGGTTGCATATATTTTTATTGGATTAATTGTTCTTTTAATGACTAATTTCCAGAGTTCTTATGTTTTTGGAGTGGATTAGTGATTAGTAAAGATATTTTCCAATTCTATAGGGACACCTCAAACTGTTTGGTTTCTGATAAAATCTGTCTGCACTCACCAGGCCCGACTGTGCTGTTGTGCAGAAACTGTCCAGTGAAGAAGCAAGTAGCACACGGACAGCTGGGGAGCTCAGAATTATTTTTCACTGTCTGGCCTGGACCCAGCCAGTGCTCTGCAGTTTCCTGCCCCAACCTGGGTTTTCTTACTGTTTTTGTGGACTGAACAACAGTGTTTAATTAGTTCCCTATGTAGCCACCTGCACGAGGTTCTTAGACTGGAAATCATTGCAGCTGGGCATGCCTTCAGAAGCAGGGCTAACAAGGTTCCAATAGTTTCTGCCAGGTCTGTTCTAAGAGCTACCTGTCAGTTCCTCCTTGCCTTCCAGATCTGCTGTCCTAACCTTCTACCTAGAGCTCTGTTATGCCCAGATCACAGAGTCCCCCCAAAACCAACTTGGAGACTGAGTCCTGTATGTAAAAGCAAAGAGCCTTTATTCTTACACAAGTTTGCAAACTTGGACTTTCTGTGTGTCCATCATATTGGAATAGTTGGAGAGCCCTGATGTCAGTTAGGGTAGGGTTTTTGTAGTAGCAAAGGTAGGGGTGAGGAATTTCTAAGGTTTAAGACCCTGACTGGCTGACATTTGTCTAGGGGTGTCCTGGTGAAAAGCGATGGAGGTGTGCTGGAAGGTGATCCTATTTACAAAGTTTGGAATTTCCTTCGGATGGGCTGTTCCTGGGTGGTTCCTCGGTGGTTCCTGGGTGGTCTCTGGTTTTGGTCTTTCTTGCAACCCTGTATTGCCTCAGGTAAACTATTGAGACTCAGGCCTCTATGGGACTGCCATTGCTGGGTCCTTCAAGCTCCTATCTAGGGTCACTCACAGTATCTCCTGACCCCTGACTATGACACTGCTACTGGACTCTCTGAGCTTTGGGAAGGAAGCTGGCATTTGGTTTTCCATCCCTGACCAGTTACTGTCACCACCACATCCTATCAGCCTGCATTTCCCTTCCTACCGAACACAGCTAGGGCTCCAGATCTCAGTAGGGACAGCCAGGGTCAATCCAGCTCTGTGCAGCTGCACTGTGGGGTCTCTGCCTCCTCAGCCCAGAGGATCCTGCTGTTGTTACAGCTCCTCAGATGGGAGGAGAGTGACTGAGACAGAACCTGGGGACATGGGTTGATCACGTCTACATCTTTCTGACTTGTCCCTAAATGAGTTCTTGAGTCTTCTCGCTTACAAGACTTTTGACTCTGGTTTTCTCACACTAGGCTTTCAATAGTAACTTCAGGAGCACCTACTGTGTGCTGACCATATTCTGAGCACTCCATGTCGTGTTCCTGTTCCTCTTACATTAAATAGCAGTAGCAATGACACTTAGTTGGGAAGTGGTAAGAAACTCGCCAAATTTACATAATTAACCGACGATAGAAGTGGTCCTGACAGCTGTGGGCATCCTAGCCAAGAGAATGGCCTCCTGTCCTATTTAGATTCAAGGAAAAGTTCATTAGTTGGACTTGTGACCACGAGAAGGAATAAAATGGGTACTTGAGAGAGATGATGGTAATGTTCTGGCATCTGGGGGAGGGACCAGTGTGTAGCAGCCGTAATAGTTAATATCAATGGAGGTAACACCGCACCTGGGTGTGGACCCCCATGCTAGGGCTCATGGTTCTGTCGGGAGGAGACCCCGACTGTGCACACTTGCTCTGTCTACATTAAGCCTCTTGCCTGGAACCAACTGGGTGACTGACACTTGGCTCTGCTTCCCGAGGATTTCACAACAGTAATCCCACGTGAGATCTTTCTTCAGAATGGCCTCACTGCCCGCCCTGTAGACGGTATTCTGTGGTAAGCAGTGCCCACAGCCACTTCCCTTCCATTTGTATTTTTTTTCCTTATTGTCATGTGGACAGCAATGGAACGAGGCCACCATCACACTCCACCCAGAAGGGAGCAGAAGATCAACTCTATGAGTCCATCCTGAAAATGGTCTGAATTCTGAAATCTACATTTTTCCTCACACTGGACTCATCATGGAGAAATAGCAGGGAAGAAGGTGAGGTGTAAAATATCATCCCTTCGCTGGATAGCAGACAGCATGTGTGTTAACAGAGCTTGTCTCTGGTTGTGTCTGAATTTGTAAGATTGTTCTGGAAGACTCTGACTTCATTCATAACTTACTGAATGGGTAGAATTCTGGTGTCTATTAGGAAGTGGGCTACACTTCGAGACTATGGGTCACTCGGAGCATGTCATCGAATGCAATTCTTGACTGTGTCTCCTCCTGTCACTCCTTGGTCCTGGCTTCCATGTGGTAAACACTTGCCTTTGCTGTGCCTGCCCAGTGAGCTTGACCTCAGGACAGCTTCAGTTTCCTCGCTGTGACTGCACTCAGTCCGTGTGCTCACAGGGTCCTTGATTACTCATCAGAGACATGGGTTCGTAGAGCCGTTGTGACAATCAGGTAAAGAACAGTCTCTCACCATAAGTGACACCCTGGTGACAATCCTTGAGGGTCCTGTGCCCTCCCTGTACACAGGACAACCGCCCACCTCTCCTCCTCCTCCATCATTTCCATTTCAATAGTTTATCTTTATAGCTGGGTTCAGATGTCACACCCGCTTCAGCTGGGTCTGTGTTGACTGAACACGTGCCAGGGACAGCCATCTGCAATGCTGTGGACAACATGAATCCTTCTCTTTTTGTGGCTGAGGAGTCACAGCCCATCATGAGGACCATCCTATCTTCCCACATACAGGACACCCTTGGTGCCTGAACTGAACACAGACCCCAGGGGCAGCAGCTGCAGGCACAATCCTGTTGCCTGTCACTTGTGTTCGGCAGGGACAGACCTGGTCACAGCTCCTCCTCTGCACTGTCCTTCCTTCACCCTGTCCATCTCTCCTGTCCCTTTCTGGGGCCTCTACTCATCTCTGAGCCTTACTGGTGTCTTTCCATAGCTTTCTCTTTTGTTAAGAGCACTTCTAACACCTGAGATACATTATTACATCATATAAAATTGCTTTCTTTTTAAATGTATCTCTATTTTGAACATATGCTGCTACCTACTAGAATACTTTCACCACCCATGAGGTAATGCTGTATCTATGAGAAGTGACCATGGGCTGTGTCAATTCTCACCGACACCCACCATGGCTTGTTTGTCTCTGTCATAAAGGAAGGTGTGTTCCTGGTGGGCAGAACCATGGAGATGAAGTGGCCCTGGACTAAAGGCTGGAGGGAGCTCTCTGGGCACTGGACACCTAAAGGGCTATGGTACTCAGTTCTCTTACTGCTTTGCACCCCCAGGGAGGTGGCTTTGTCCACGTCCAGCTGTCCCTTAGCCAGACATCCCTTCCAAGGAAGGACAGAGGGGCTGTGTGACCCAAGAATGTTCCTCTAACAGACAAGACCCAGGAGGTACACCGGTCAGCTCTCTACCTCTGGTGTTCAGAACTTAGGAAGAAGGCCACTTGAGTGGTAAGGAACAACGGGACACTGCTCACTGCTGCAGCCTCAGGGTGCTTCTGTGGCCAGAAGGGGAAGGTGAGATCAAGAAGGAAAATGGTTCTTGTATAAATTTCAAATATTCTTGTTAATCCACAATAAAGAAAACAGTTTTAAAAAGAGGAGATGATAGAAATCTGGAGACAATTATCAACTTTCTGTAGTCAACAATCTAGAAAACGCGTAATATCATTTTCAGAAAACACAAAGCATGATCAGGCCGGTGTTTACAGTGTTTACAAACTAATTCTTCACATATAATGGAGCAAGTGTAGCTTTCATGTGCATCTCAGCAGATCTCATCCAAATAGAGCAGGTGTTAAACTTCGGTAGGAATTAAGTCTTGAGATTTCCCCAAGAGTCTGCTTACAGAGAGCAGAACTCACCACCACATCCTGTCACCCCTCCTCCCTGTAGAGCCCATGGCTGGCACATAGGACCAAGGACCTGTGATGACCCTGCAGATGATGTCCCCAGCATCCCTTCCTTTCCACCCTCTGAGCATTCCTCCAAAATCCATCACTCCATGTGACCAAACCATGAAGAAAGAAATGGGGTTCACACCCAGAATCTGATTGTAAGATTGGGAAATAATTGAAAAAACACAGAATGAGGCAGAACTAGGAAGGAGGAGAAGTCTCTATGCAAGCATTCAGAAAGCAGTGGGAAAGTTGGCAGCTCAGGGACCTGTGAGGATGGTGAGCCTCAGTTAGGAGCAGTGTGGTGGGTGTGACTGGGAAGCAGCCATGCTGTGGCTTAGCCAGGCCTTGGATGTTCTTCCCAGCTTGGGAGCGTGGTCCTTATGTGGGATGCTGGAGGTTGTGAGATCTAAGAGGGAGGTGGAGTCTAGTGGGAGGTAACAAGCCTGTCCCATCTGTGTTCTGTGTTCTGGTTTCCTTTCTCTTGATGTGGCCTCACCTCTACCAAGCACTACCACTATCGTGGTATTGTTATAAAGGGGATACATTCAGAACCATCAAGTGTCCATGGCTCTGTCCAGCACACCCCACCCCCAGTCCTCTGAGCTGCACTGAAGAAGAGGTCACTGAGTCAGGATGTCATGCACCCGGATGAGCTCCTGCAACTTCTGCTCCAGGTCCTGAGCCTGCTGCCGCAGCTTTTTAACAAAATCTGCCTTTGCCCCCTTTTGAAAATGCTTTGGGTCTTCTGTGATGCTGACTATATCTTGCATTAGGGAGTCACTTGCTGTGATTGCAGTAATGATCCAACTCCAATTGGTCATTGCCAGAAAAGTGCCTTCAAAAGCTTTCTCCTCCTCTTTAGTGCTTTTGGCATTCTTTGCTAGGTGAGGGCTGGCTTTGGTCATCTTGATGGTATCAATGTTCTTCTTCATGACTTCCAATAACTGGAAGGATTTCATAAATACAGAAAATAGCCTGGGGATTTTCTTCTTTACAACTTCTGCAATGTCCTCTCCAGTGTTGTTGCTTTTAATGTCATTCTCAGTGCCGTTGCTTCTTGACAGAAACTCACTGGCTTCAGCTTCTACTGACGCTGTGCTTACCTTTTCCACAATGGTTGTGGAAACACTCATCACAGCTGCTGCTGCCCCAAGTCCCACGCCTGTGGCTGAAAGTCCCAGACTGAATCCTGCTGTCACAGGTGCCAGAGTGAGACCAATGGTTGTCAGGACCCCAGATGCAGCACTGGTGGACTTGGCCACCACTTGTGCGGTGGAACAGCCCTTATGCACCTTGTCAATCTTGTCTGCAAGGGCGTGGAGCTTCCTGATGCGCTCCTCAAACTCCTGTTTCATCTGAGGATAAACTTCCAGAAACCTTTCCTTCTCACGTGAGGCATCTTTCACTTTCCTGTAAAAAGAGAGACCAAATAGCAGAGTGAGGAAGAGAGTTTGGAAAGATCTGTCCTGTGGCAATCAGAGCATCTGCTGGGAATGAAACGGAGGAGAGTCTTACAGCTGTACGGTGTCGTTCTTGCATTGATGAGCAGGTTGGATCCACCACACAACATTTAATTGTTAAGGACACAATGAGTTAAAAGCCATATTAATGTGTCCTTTAAAATTTTTATTTGAATTGTTTGAGTGTTTACCTGCAGGCATCTGTGTACCAACTGCAGTCCTGGTGTCATGGAGGGCAGAAGAAGAAATTGGATCACTAGACCCTAAGTTACAGGCAGTTGTGAGCCATCATGAGGATGCTGAGAACTGGATGTCAGCCACCTGGAGGAGTGCTCTTAACTCCTGAGTCATCTCTAGTCACTTACCACACATTTTTATTGCTAGACATTTAATAAAGATGCCTTCCCCTCAAGGCCAATGTCACCACTACCAACATACCCCTGTAGGTTAGTAAAAAACAGAGAAATGAGGTTAGAGAAAAAATAACCTTGTATTTTAGGAAAGTTAGTGTTCTCCAAAGATTACGCTTTTCCCAATTAAAAAAAAAATCCTCCTCTTGGCATCAGCTACTGGGCACTGACCTGTCTACCCTACAGTGACCTGCTGGTCAGGGATGTCCACATTTGCTTGGGGACTTGGACTCTGAGTGTGTGCAAATTGCACAACCCTGAGAGAGAAACCCTGCACAGGTATTTTTTGAAGCTGATGTCTCTTTGCCCTGCAGCTGTGTGTACACCTGAGCTGGTGGGGCCGCTCACAGCTAAGACCCTTCCCCTCAAAACCCAGCACATGAATCTCCTTTCCAGCTGTGATCAGAAGATAAAGAACCATGAGTGGATCCCCATTTCCATGTGGGTCCCATCCCCAAGGCACCTCACTGTGCCTGCAAGTGCTTCCACGGCAGGCAGAACCGAGAAAACACAACATGTAGGTTCCCTAGCTCTCCCTAGAATTCCCAGCCTGAGAAGGGTGATGTGTGGTGGGATTTTGCTGTCATTTCTGACCTCCAGGGGATCTAGACACTAAAGGCCTGTGCTCCAAGAGGGAGGGAGACCCTGGATCTCTTGCGGGGACTCTGTATGTGATCAAGGACCACCAAATTTCTGGACACTGAGTCTCATGTTGACAAATACTTTTCGTTGAATCAACTTTACTTAAGTTTTCACAAACTGCTCCCAGAGTGTGGCTCAATCTTGGCTTTCTGTGCCTTTTCTGAGCATGGTTGGTGTTCCCTGCCCAGACTTGTCAAGAATCTTAAGTCAGCTGTAAGACTGCCCTACTTTTGATACTCAATACTCAATCAAGTTCCTGTGTTTAACTTTTGCTATCTTAGTCTTGACCTCCCTCAGGAGGAATCCCATGAGGTCAGCTTCACAGTGCCCCTGCTCCCTGCTGCCAGAGTCCCCAGCTGAATGCCTATCCAGAAGTGTTCTGTCTCTTCCCCTTAGGGCAGCAGTCCTGAACTGCTCCTTCCTGACTGCTAACTCGTGTCAGAACATGGCTTCTCTGCCAAGGCATCTTTCTTGGTGTGTGTCACCTTGTGTGAGCTCTCATGTGACTGTGCTGTGTCTTGAGGACAGCAGACAATTCTCCCTTAATATCTAGATGCACCGTTAGGATGGGGCTAATTTTGTAAAGCGTTTGCCATACAAACACACGGACCTGAGTTCTGTGTTTCAGAGTCCACATAGAAAAGCTAGATGCAATTCTTTCTATCAGGCTACTGTTACCTTAATACCCAAACCACACAACGATACATCAATGAAAGAGTATCCATGTAGAACACTGATGAAAAAACTTCACAAAATATTGGCAAACTCAATCCTAGAACATGTAAAAAAATCATTCATCATGAACAAGTAGGATTCATCTCTTACTTGATGGTTCCGTGTAAGAAAATCTGTCAATGTAATCCACAATATAAACAGACTAAAAGGCAAATACCACATGATCATCTTAGATGCTGAAAAAAGCCTTTGGCAAAATCCACCCCCTCTCATGATAAAGATTTTGCAAAGATCAGTGATACAAGGAACATACCTATATATAATATAAACAATCAACAACAAGCCGACAGCCAACATCAAATCAAATCGAGAGAAACTGGACAAACCAGCTCTTTCCACAAGTTGTATTCCAGATTCCTCTTTGGTTGGCAGGACTTGCAGGGCCTCTGTGTTCCTTGTGTCCCAGAGATACTCAACCACAGACATGATGAAGCCTTTCCTCTCTGGATGGGAAGAAAAGGGATTATGATTAGAGGAGCATGCTTGAGACCTTGAATGGCTTCAGGAACTAGGTTTTAAAATGTGTGTCTGAGCATCTGTCCCTTCAGGTATAATCTGGTGTCACTTTTGATAGGGACTGAGTTGTGTCCTTTAACTCATTTGTTAAAGCTCTATCCCCAGGTGACTGTATTTGGAGATAGAGAAGGAAGCAAGTGAGGTTGTCAGTGAGGTCCCTGACAGCAGCCAGAAGATGCTCCCTCCCTCGATCCCATCCTCCTCTTTCTCTCTTTCCTATTCTCTTCTTTCCAGACACACAAGAGAGACCTTGGACTAGAACAGGGTATGGGCTCCTTCTCCCAGCTTTAAAGAGAGTGCCCCCCAGAACCAATCTGCCACACTTTGATTGTGGTTGCTGGATTCTAGAACAGTGAGAGAAGAGGTCTTTTCTCTTTAAGCCACCTACCCAGTGTCACTTTGTGATGGCATCCTGAGAGGACAGATATACCAGGGAGATGTCATGGTGTTTTAGAGACACGTATAGTTTTCAACTCAGAACAGTTAGAAAATGAGTCTCTCATCCCCAGGAAGAGGGAGAGTCCAGTGATGGCATCCATCTACTGTGTGCCTGGGGCCCAGTCCTTGAATGAGACAACTATTCCCCTGATTTTTATTTTATGTATGGGAATATTTTTTAAAAAATATTTATTTATTTATTATGTATACAATATTCTGTCTGTATGTAGGTCTGCAGGCCAGAAGAGGGCACCAGAACTCATTACAGATGGTTGTGAGCCACCATGTGGTTGCTGGGAATTGAACACAGGACCTTTGGAAGAGCAGGCAATGCTCTTAACTGCTGAGCCATCTCTCCAGTCCTGTATGAGAATATTTGCCTGCTTGTACGCATGTCTATGCACCATGTGTGTCTCTGGTGACCGAAGAGGGCCTTGGGTCCCCTGGAGCTGCAGTTACAGCCTGCTGTGAACCTGATGTGGGTGTTGGGAACTGAACCCATGTGTTATGAAAGAGTAGTAAGTGCTCTTAACCACTGAGCCACTCTCTAGCCCCAAACTTGACTTTCCTCACTGGAATGATTAGTTCTTAATCGTGAGGTTCAATCCACTGGGTTAATAAGTATCTGGGCGGTCAGTAGCCCTTCTCTCGGTGGGGTGTGAGGGAGTTCCCAGAAATAATAGATCCCAAGTTCTCTGAGTGCATGAGTGGGTCAAAGATTGAGCTGGGGGCACCTTGGGAAGTTGAGCCTGGTTGGGGTCAGGAGGGCAGCTGGGATGTGTCTTTGGGGCTGATTGCCGTCTTGTCTTGGCCCTTCATGTTACTGCTTTTGTGCGCCATGATGTGGGCTTCCCACCCTGCCTCCCTTCCAGGATGGACCAAAATATGCAATATTGTCAGTGAGATAATCTGCTTTCATTATTTACAACAACGACAAAAGTGAGTGACGTCAGCTTTAACAACGAACTTGTACAGAATAAATGAGTGAGTGGTCTCAGAGCCAAGAGAAGAATTTTACAAAGCCAATACAGGCCGGCATGGTGGTGCACACCTTGATTCCCAGCACTCGGGAGGAGAGGCAGGTGGATCTCTGTGTGTTCTAGGCCAGGCTGGTCCACATAGGGAGTTCCAGGAGAGGTAGAGCTACCAAGTGAGACTTTGTATTAAAAAATAAGTGAAAAAAAAAAACATTAAAAAGAATTGCATTTGGCAATACCAGGCAAAGAATACAGGAACAGTGAGTATTTGTGGATTATTCCATGTATATACATATGCACACATACACACACACATATATACGCCAACACTCTACTAACTCAGAATTTAAATTTTTGACAATAATTTTAAGTGATTTTTGAATTTTCATTTTGTCTCATTGTAATTGTATGTATGTAACAAGTATATTTCATGATAAATTAGTATGCCATTAGTTTAAAATTTTATCATTCATTTTAGAATGTTCAAAATAGTGCTGGAAAGATGGCTCAGCTGATAAGGGCACTGGCTGTTCTTCCAGAGGTACCGGGTTCAATTCTCATCACCCACAGGCACCTCACAAACTGTCTGTAACTCCAGCACAAGGGATCCAACACCCACACACAGACATACATGCAGGAAAAAACCAAATTTACATAAAATTAAAATAAACAAATCATTAAAAACGATTGTTCAAAAGTCAATTTACACTATCACTACCTGCTCTGAAATATTCAATTAATTACTCTTAAACATCAAGTTAGCAAGCATTTCTTTTTTTGGTTTTTTTGAAACAGGTTTTCTCGGGTAACAGCCATAGTTGTTCTAAAACTTGCCCTGTAGACCAGGCTGGCTTTGAACTCACAGAGATCCACCTGCCTCTGCTTCCTGATTACTGGGATTAAAGGCGTGTGCCACCATCACCTGGCCCTAGTCAGCACTTCTAATGTGTGATAAATGCAATCCTGAAATGATGGTGCAGACCCATAACCCAGCACATCACAGAGGCAGGAGGATTGTGAGTTTGCGGTCAACTTGGGTGACATAGCAAAACATTTTTTGAGTGGCAGGGGAGAGAGAGGAGTAGGGAGAATTGGAGAATGAAGAAGAAGAAGAAGGGAGGAGGCACACGGGGCAGTTCCAGCAGTAAAGGCGTTCATTCATGACCAGCAGCAGAACATGTGAACTTCCCGTTAAAGGAGACCAACATCGTAATGGTTGCAAATCTTCTCAGGTCACTGGAGGTCAGTTCCTGCCCACGTGATGTGGAGGTTATGGTATTAAAGAGAAGGGAGTGAGGACGAGCTATGTTGTAACCTATCCTGGAGGGTGTGCCTCTCACGGTTGAAAATGACATTTCAAGGACACACGACTGAGATCAAGTGTCAGTAAAGACTCCTGCTGTGATGGACAGCTAAGATCGGCAGCACACGGGGGCACGGGGGTCTCTGGTTGGTGGGACCCTCCACGCTGACCCTGGTTTCCTCTTGTGTCAGGGTCTGGCACCCCAGCACCTGCCCAGGCTTTCCAGGCTGCCCCATTTAGAAGGGAATACTTACCCTGCAGACTCCATGTGTTCTGTATCCTTCCTCATGGACCCTAGAGCCTCCTGCATGCTCTAAGCACCCCACATCTAAGCTTTCCTCCCTTCCTAATTCTATTGCATGATTTCTCTGTTATTAACATCTATTTATTGTCCAAAGTGGAGAGTTTTGAAATGCCATTTCATTCAAGTTTATCATGTATATTGGCTGTGTTCACTCTGTACCTTCTCCAGTTACTAGTCGGCCTTTGGCTAATAGTTTCTCTCTATGTTTACACTGTGTGTGTGTGTGTGTTCTAGGTTCCACATTTGAAAGAAACAGTCAACACTTGTCTTTAAATCTGACTTATTTTGGTCAACAGGATGCCCCACAGTTCCACCATTTTCCTGCAGATGGCACACTTTCCATTCATCTTTATGGCTGAATAAAATTCCATCGTCATGTGCACCGCACTGTCTCTATGCATCTGTTGATGTGCATGATTGCTCTTCCCATGTCTCAGTTATTGTGAATCTCACTGTGATGGCCATGAATGTCCCAGCTTCTCTCTAACGCACCCATGGAGGTTCCTTGGGGTACACCCTTGGGTGGGATAACTTGGTCCCACTGAAGTTCTGTTTTCATTATTTGATGAATCTCCATGAGGATTTCCAAAGTGCCCAAAAGAACTTACATTCCTATGAAGAGCACATGTCCCTCTCCCCCACTGTTTGTTGCTTATTTCCTTAGTGATGGCCGTCCTGACCATGTACACAGCTCTGTAGTTTTTTCTCTCTCATTCTGTGCAGTGTGGGTTGGCCAAGCTGAGCAAATGACTTGACTGCCTAAGCGGCAGAGGTGAGGGAAGAAGACAGTGAGCACAGGGCCCAGGACACCGGTGTGGATCAAGACAGACTTACATAGGAATAATTTACATGGAAAGTAAAAAGTAGAAAATGACAAGATCTCCTGAGTAAATTGGGTACATGGAGACCTTGGGGGAAGATTGAAGTAGGGAGGGGAGAAGCAGGGAGGGGAGCAGAGAAAAATGTAGAGCTCAATAAATATCAATAAAATTAAAATAAAAAACAAAAAAAATTATAAAACGTCTTTGCATTATTAAATATTCTAGAGCATAAAGAAAAGTGGCACACCTTAAAATAATATTCTACAACACTTCTGCATCCTGAGTGCTGGGATTAAAGGCACGTGTAACCAATGACTGCCTGGAATATCATAAGCTTACTGTCTTAGTCATTGTTCTACTGCTGTGAAGAGACGCCATAGCCAATGCAGCTCTTACAAAAGAGAGCATTTATTTGGGGCTTGTCTAAAGTTGCAGAGATTTAGTCCATTTATGTTCATGTCGTGAGCATGGTGGCATGCAGGCAGACCTGGTGCTTTTATAGGTGAGAATTCTACATTCAGATCCACAGGGAGCAGGAGAGAGAGAGACTCTGGCTTGCCCTGAGCCCTAGTGACACACTTCCTCCATCATGGCCACACCTACTCCAACAACACCACACTTCCTGATCCCTCTCAAGTAGCCCCACACCCTAACGACCAGGCATCAAATGTATGAGCCTATGGGGGCCGTTCCTATTCCAAACCAGGACACTTACTGTCCATGATGCTCTGGCTCCTTACTCACACATAAGGAGTCTTTGGACATGCTCTATCAGGTTGAGACTCTTGAGACTCCATGTCATGAAAGTTGACAGGCACATATTTAGATAATGTGTGTGAGTTTTCAGTGTTGGCAGAGGAGGACTTGAACCCTGAACATGGTAATCGACATCTCACTCTCAGATGACGAAGCTCCACTGTCTTAAAGACACAACTGCATTCCCCCCTCTTTATATTACATGTGTGCATCATAGTCTGTGTGTGTTATAAATGGTTCTTCTGTTTCCACGGACTGCCTGTGCCCAGTACCAGGTCCTCATTTTAGTAAATCCACTAGAGTCCTCTATTCCAAGGGACCACACCCTCTTTGCATCTGCAATATCCTTGTCCTATCAGGACCTGGAGTCCTGCCTGTCCCCAGCCCTGCTGTGTGTGTGTGTGTGCTGCTTTTGACCCTGCTCTTCTCCCTGACTCTGGGACTTTGTGGTGCTTCTAATCATTATGTAAATAGTGATACAAACAATGTTCTCATTGCCAGTTAGAGCCTACATTTGTGCTAATTTCCTTATGACATTTGTAGAATTAGAAGGACTGGGTTAAGGGCGGTAACACATGCAGTGTGTGGGGACACTCATTCCTTCATTCTGACCAGTCCTCAGGAGTCTTTGGGGGTGGAAAAAGACTTTATAAAGAGAGAAACACACACTGCACTGAGATTGCCTGGAAGCTGAGAAGGAAAGAAACATGTTTAGCAGTGTGGGTCGGAGGCATCAGCTCCTCCTGGGACCTGACCAAAACGAGAGTGAATGACCTGTTGGTGTGGGAAGAGCTGAAGATACTGGTGGCTCACTCTCATGACCACTCTGACATTGTAACTGATGGCTGAGTATTCTGCCCAAACCCTTCAAGTGTGTCATAGCCCAGGCTGCCCTTAAACTCACTGTGTAGCCCAGGAGAACAATGATCTCCTAATCTTAGACCTGCCCCACCAGAGTGTTAGGATCCCAGTTTTGTGCCAATGCCCCCGTTCAAGCTTTCTCATACTTGCACAAATTTACAATGAAATAGAAAGAATATTTCAAAAATGTAAGTTCCGGTTGGAGTCTGAGACATAGCACGTGCTGTGAAGTCCCCTCCCCTAAGTAAAAGCTTGGGTCAACTCCTCAGGGCCAGCATCATACGTTTTCAGTAATTCTATCAGGGACTTGGGTCAGGGTGACAGGGGTGGAGTCATCTCACCAATGCCAGGTTCACAAAAATCATATTAACACGGAGATGCATCTTAAAAATAGCTTACTGGCCCAAGAATGTAAACATCTGGAAGATGCCCATTGGTCCAGCTGTGGGTACACATTGCCACTGTAGCTGTTGGCTACGGAAGGTTGTGGAGTTTTGTAGGACAGTCACCAACAATCACCCAGGACTGTAATATGACCAGGTGTGCCCACAGCAACCCAATTATCCAGCAGGCAGGCAGCAGAGTGAGTTCATGGAACCCTTTGCCAGGGTGTGTGGTGCAGGTCAGAGTAGCTTGCTTAAGGCCCAAATGGGGAAAGTTGGGGAGAAGTGACATCTGTACTAGTCAGGGTCTCTAGAATAGCACAACTTACAGAATCCATCTCTCTACATGGAAAGGGGTTTATTAGAATGACTCACGGGCTGTGGCTCAGGTAGTCCAACAGCGGCTGCCTACGAATGGAAGGCTGAAGACTCCAGACGCTGCTCAGTCCACAGGGCTGGATGTCTCAGCTGATCTTCAATATATGCAGGAATCCTGAAGAAGAAGAAGGCTGTAATGCTGGTGAGGGATTGGACTTGAAAGTGAGGTGAAAACAAGGAGGCAAAGATCACCAACTTCCTTCTTTTATGACCTTATATGGGCTTCCAGCAGAAGGCGTGGCTTAGAGTCAGGGCTTCATTCCACAATAGATCTGTATTAAAGACACAGCTTCCCACTTTAAATATCTGACTTAGAAGTGAATCTCGCCACTTCAAATTAAGCAAAATCCCCTCACAGATGTGTCCTTCATTTGAGTTTTAATTTAATTCCAGATGTAGTCAAGTTGACAACCAAGACTAGTCACACACCACTCAACCAGAGTCCACGAACCCACGGGAGTGCACTGCCACCAAGACACAGAAATTGTTTTAGGAAATAAACACTTTTGGAAACTTGTGGTACGAAGTTTGAAACATAGCTTCATCGAGCTAAGGCTGACTGGGAAGTATGTGGGTGCTTCCTGATGTAGAGTGGTTTCTGGTTAGGAGCCATTTGTGGGTGGAGTTTTTCTTTCTTTTTTCTTTTTTCTGGGTTTCAGCTTCAAATTCTGACATTTCGTTTAAATGAGGAAAGGAATCATCAGGCCCTGCCTTAATTAGCACCTGGTTAGCAAGCACTGGTCCTGTGAGTGCAGGGCAGGGGCCCTAACACAGCCTACAGTGGGAATTGGATCCTGGGAATTTAAAGGGGTCCAGGGAGAGAAGGCTACCAGCATGGAGGGTCTGTTGTACAGCATGCACCAGCCTGTCTGTATTTTGTTCTGATCCCCAGAACAACATGGGGACACTGGGCCCTAAGGGAACAGATCATTTGAGGTGAGAGTCTCCAGGTAACATAGCTGGCCTGGGCAAGGTCTCACTGAGGTGCAGTAACTTCCTGCTGAGGCAGTTAGAAAATGTGGGTTCCTGAACTGGAGCAGGGTGAGCTCCCTCTACTCAGAAAGCAATCCGAGGTCAGCTGAGAGCAAGTCTCCATGAGGGGGCTGGGGCTCCCTTCAATCTCAACACTTCCTGCTTCTGTTCCCTCCATTCTTTCCCTCTTTCCTTCACCTCCCTCCCTCTCTCTCCCACAACCACTTACATCTTCTGTCCTTCCACCCCTGCCCTCTCATCTCCTCCTACCCCTTCCCGTTCTCCTCCAATCCCTCTGTCTCACCTCCTTCATCTCCTTCCCTATTCTATCCTTCAGCCCCTGTCCTTGTCTCTCTCTCAACTCCCTCTCTCCCTTCATCCCCTCCTGACTTTTATTCTTTAGGTTGGTTATTGAGAAGGTGACTTCTGAGAATGCACCCCGAGACAAGGCCAGAAGGGAGGCTGCTCTTACCCAGGACTGGGGAACTCTCTGCTCTCCCTTGGGGTTCTTCTCCTGCATCTTTGACTCCTCAGCAGGCCTCAGCTGCTGCTCCTAGGCCATGAGCAGTAGCAGAGAACAGACTGATTACCTGGGGAGCCCATGACAGCTGTGGGTCTTGGTGTCACTCAGAGGATCCTGACAGCTTTCCTTACAGCTCACTGGGTGACCAGGCTACAGGAGGAAATAACAACCTGTGGGACAGAATGGGGACAGCTCTGTGACCAGGGATCTGGTGACCCACAGGTCTCTCCATGGTGACTGCTAAGGGCCAAAAGTAAGTGACCCAAAGCATGTCTGCTTCCAGGTGCTGTGACTGCTATTTAAGGAAGCCTGTCCTGTGGTCCAGCCCTGCTGCTCTCTGTCCTAGCAAGGAGGAGGACTAAAGGCATGCTGGGACAGTGGAGAAGGTGGCAGCTGAGGACACAGCTGTGGAGAAACAAAGACCCTGCACATAGACTGAGAGATGGAGAGGAATATTCTGGTAGCCACCTGAGGGGTTCCTAGTACCCTGTTTAGATGGTAAATCCTTTTCTTTCTATTGTGTGTGTGTGTGTGTGTGTGTGTGTGTGTGTGTGTGTGTGTGTTTTGGCACAGGGATTCTCCGTGTAGCCCTGGCTGCTCTGGGCCCCACTTGTAGACAAGGCTGGCCTCTAACTCATGGAGTTCCACATACCTGTGTATTGTTGGTTGTATTACTACTTTGGGGGCCTTGTAATGGTGGAAGTCTTAAACATAATAACAACAGAGACATAGAGGCTGTGTAGAACATCCATTTAAAACAGAAATCACATCTGTGCGGCCACACCATTCACACATTCTTTCATACATGAAGTAGAGAGGAAAATTACTCAGCACCGAAATCTGACCTGTCGCTGAGCCACAGCCCACGGTAGAGAGCAAAGCCTGGATTTAGAAACAGCTGCCTCGCAAATTCAACTAATCTTGTTGGTTTCCGAGGGACCAGTGGTAGTGGTGGCAGGGATAGAATAGAAGGAATGGGAGTGAGAGGAAAAGAGCATTTTCAGAATTGTGGGGAAGGGGCTGCACAGCGAAAAGAAAAGTGGAGCCGGCAGAACACCAGCAGGGCATTCATAGGCAGGTGGCTAATGATTTGAGGGTTTCTATTCCATAGCTGAAAATATGATACCCACGAAAACAGCGACACCACAAAGCCTATAAGAGAACGTCTTCTCTCTACACGCAGGGTATTGATAAAACCAACTGTCCCCAGATCAGGTGACTGGGAAGCCAGAGGCTACAGGGTACCTTGGATGATTTCTCTCAGTGAGGACCAAATACGAGCAGTTCAAAAGAAAAGAGAAAGAAAAATAATAATAATAAATATCCGAAGGAAACCAGGTCGCAGAACAAAGGCACACACTGCTGAGTGTGTGCCGTGCTTGAGTGGGAGGACCAGCCTGCTTAGTCCAGTCATATTCTTAGCTATGGGAAGCAACCAGAGATGAATGTGAGTGAGGGGCTCAACCATAGCTGTAAAGGCTGTGGTTGGGTTTATCACCCCCACTCCCGTTTCTAAGAATACCATAGGACTGCTGGGAACTCAACATTCCATTCTTTGGGTTCAGAGAAATGGTTTAGCTGACTGGAAGAAAAAATGTCACCACAGAAACTGCTGGTGTGCGTAAAGGTCAACGTTCTGGCAGATAGAACATGGGGCTTTTGTAAACAAACCTGGTTCCCGAGCCCAGGGTTTCACATGTCCTGAGCTGGCCTGCCTGTGGGCGGGAGGGAAGGTGGAGAGAGCCTGGCCAAGTCATGAGCACCAATGCAATGGTAAAACTGCATAGTGCAGTTCCCCAAGGGGCAGCAATGGGTCACTGCGGGTGGTCTAGGGCTGTGACAGGTGGGAGAACACAGCAGGCCATGAAGGGCAGGTGGTCCCACCACCCTAGGCTTCTGTGGGTTACAGGTGTGTGGGCAACAGCGGGTGAGAGACCAGTTCCATGAGTAGCCATGGCAGATGAGAAACAGAGATGGATAGGCATGCCATGCAGAGAAAGTGGGTACTTATTTAGTGGATTATGGAGGGGAAAGGAAAGGGAAAGGGGGAAGAGGAGAGAGAGAGAGAGAGAGAGAGAGAGAGAGAGAGAGAGAGAGAGAGAGAGAAGAAGAAGAAGAAGAAGAAGAAGAAGAAGAAGAAGAAGAAGAAGAAGAAGAAGAAGAAGAAGAAGAAGAGAAGCTACCTCTTCGAGGAAGAGACAGAAAAGAGAGGAAAAAGGCAGGTAAGGAGCAGAAGGAAGATCTGATTCCCTTGGCAGATGGGGGAGGGAGTGGGTGGGGCTTGTCTCTTAAAGGGACAGGACAGACCATTATAGGCCTGCCACCCAGCTCCCAAATAAATCACACTTGGGAGGCTTATTCTTACTTATAAATGACTCACCTTAGCTTGGCATTTCTTGTCAGCTCTTCTTAAATTAACCTGTCTCTCTTTTGCCTCTTGGCTTTTTCCATTCTCTTCTGTAAATCTTACAAACAACATTTTAGCATACTAATGTGGCTGTATTTCCATAGGGACTGTGAAAGCTGAAAAAAAAGGGGGGAGGATTCGGCTCCTTTAAGAGTTTCTATGGGGGCCAGATGGTGGTGGCCCACACATTACATCCCAGCATTTGGGAGGCAGACACAAATGGATCTCTGTGAGTTTGAGACCAGCCGGGTCTACAGAGTGAGTTCCAGGACGGGCTCCAAAACTACTGAGAAACCCTGTCTTGACAAACAAACAAAAAAAAAGTTTTTATGAGACAGTGAAACCTTGAGCAGCTAGTATATAAAGAAGGGACAAATAAAAAAAAGTTAAAATCCTGACACAGTGTAAGCATTGGAATTCTAGAGCTCTAGAAAGGGTCAATGCAGTTCTTGGTCAACCACCTATGACCAGGCTGTGGGGTTTAGGCCTAGCTTTCTTAACCTGAAAAGAAGGCAGATCCTACCATTAAAAGCCACAGTCAGAGGACCCAGGTGTATGTTAGCAGTTTTAAAGCTTGTTTGTGCAGTCAGAAAAGATACTCAATAAAAGAGGTCCAGATGGAAAATCCTCTAACCAGGTTCCAGTGTGTTTTATAATGTACGTAGGCTTAAGAAAGAAAGAAAAAGTGAATAGTCATAAAAATTCATAATTTATGCAATAAAGTCTTTATAGAGAGAATAAAAGGAAAAAGCAATGTAAGATGGGAAACCCACAGAAAGTCTGGATCCTGTGTAGGATTGTGTGGATTTTGAATTTTTTTGATGGCTGATGGGTCAGAGACAGCTGCTGGGAGAATAGGATTGCCAGCTGATTGTACAACTGAACCAATATAGACACTTTAGGAAAGCCTTAACTTTGAAAAAAAAGTTAAAATATGTATTTTTCAATTAGAAATCAAAACTGCCTTGGAGTTTTTTTCATACAGGAGATAAGAGGTTGTGGTTTTCTTTATAAATGGTATGGATCACATTTGATCAAGGGAGACCTCCTAAAACTTGACAGGTGAATTTTACTTAAACAAATGTAACACATTTTACATCATTAATCAAATATTCTAGAGGATAAACAAAAGTGGCACACCTTAAATTAATATTCTACAAAACTTCTGCATCCTGATGGCTGGGATTAAAGGCACATGTTACCAATGTCTGGCTGGAATTTCTTTTTTTTCCTGAATATATTTTTTTGATATTTATTGAGTTCTACATTTTTCTCTGCTTCCCTCCCTGCCTCTTCC